CTTCTAAAACCATCTTACTTTGCATGTGTTCTGTTTGCTCCCCTTGACTATTAGTTACCCTGTTTAAGGCTTTTTGGTCAGTAAATAATTCTTACAGCAGGGACAGACATTTAGAGGTTATCATATTGTTAACATTTTCAGCACTGGGGAGGCAGAGGCAGGTGGATCTCTGTGAGTTCGAGGCCAGCCTGATCTACAGAACTACTTCCAGGACAGGTTCCAAAGCTACACAGAGAAACCCTGTCTCAAAAAACAAAACAAAACAAAATTAAAAAAAAAAAAAAAAAGAAAATTAACATTTTAAATGTAAAATGAAATGATACAGGTTATACAAAATTCAGACTCATCTGTCTTTGCACTTCTTGAATGTACTTATTAGATGATTGATAATTTACTGTTTTTCATTTTGTTTTGCTTTGCTTTGTTTTGTTTGCAGTAGGGTCTTAGCCCTGGCCCACTTGGAACTTGCTATGTCTATCAGGCTAGCCTAAACTCAGGGGATCCAGTGCTTGCCTCTGCCTCACTGCCTCTTGGGTGCTAGAAATAAAGGCCTGCATCACTACTTCTGGCTAAGGAGTAGTATTAGTAAGTACTTTAAGAACCTGTTTATTGTCCTTGAGTTCCCTTCCTTCCTTCCTTCTTCTTTCCTTCCTTCCTTCCTTCCTTCCTTCCTTCCTTCCTTCCTTCCTTCCTTCCTTCCTTTCTTCCTTCCCTTTCTCTCTCTCTCTCCCTCTCCCCCCCCCCCCATGAATAGTGTTCTGCCTCCATGCCAGAAGAGGGCACCACATCTCACTACAGATGGTTATGAGCCACCATGTGGTCGCTGGGAATAGAACTCAGGATCTCTGGAAGAACGCTCGATGCTCTTAACTTTTGAGCCATCTCTCCAGCCCAATCTCTCTCTTTCTAAAGAATTATTTATTTTTACTTTATGTGCATTGCTGTTTTGCCTGCGTATATGTCTTATGTGAGGGTATTGGGTCCCCTGGAATTAGTTTTGTGAACTACATCTGGTTTTTGGGAATTGAACCTGGGTCCTCTGGAAGTGCAGTAAGTGCTTTTAACAGCTGAGCCATTTCTCCAGCTCTGTTCTTGAGTTCTTTATACACTGTTTATCCTTAAAAAATATTCGTTTATGTATTTATGTATTTTATGTATATGAGTGCTAGTTGCATGTATGGCTGCATGATGGAGGAGGGCATCAGATAGAAGGCATCAGATTCCTATGGTTGTTATCCACCATGGGGTGCTGGTAGTTAAACTAAGGACATCTCGAAGAGCAGGCAATGTGCCTTTCACCACTGAGCCATCTCTCTAGCCCTATACTGCTGATTTTTAACTTTTTTTTTCATGTTTAATTGTAGTGTCATAAGAGTAATTTGTAAATTGTAGAGTTTCAGTAGAATTTCTTGTAAGACAGACACTGCCCTCCTGTGGTTAGAATAAGGTACCTGTTTGGAAAACTGCTAGCCTACATTTAGCGTGTGGTTAAAAAAATATATATATATACTATGGTATGCCACCCTTGGCATTCTTACCCCCTTCAAGAGTTTCCCTCACGTTTCCTTAGTAAATCTACACAAAGAAGGTTTAGTATTTCTGCTCAGAAATATTTTGATTTTTCTTTTCAGGTGTTTTTTTTCTCTCTCTCTCTCTATATGTGTGTGTGTGTGTGTGTGTGTGTGTGTGTGTGTGTGTGTGTATGTATATTTTTTTATTCTTAAATTTTCTTAAGGGAATTAGATAATTAAATATAACCTGGGTAGTGGTGGTGCATGCCTTTAATCCCAGCACTCAGAAGGCAGAGGCAGATGGATGTCTGAGTTTGAGCCCAGTCTGGTCTACTTCAGGACAGCCAGGCCTGTTACACATGGAAACCCTGTCTCAACACTCCCTCAACCCCCCAAAAGATAATTATAAACACAAATTGTTATCAAAAGGGAAATTGCCTTTTTTGTTATTAATATTTATTTGTATGCACATAACTCAGAAGACAACTTGCAAGAGCCACTTCTCTCCTGTGTGGGTCTTGGGGATTGAACTCAGGTCATTAGGTTTGGCACCAGGTGTTCTCACCTGCTGATCAACCTCACCATCCCAGGTCATGGTTTTGGCTTGTTTTTGTTGTTGTTACCCAGCTGTCATGGAACTCATTATGTGTCCCAGACTAACATTGAATTTGCTGCAGTATTCCTGTCTCTCCCAAGTGTTGTAATTACCGGTACAGATCACTTTGAGGGGTAGACAAACTCTACATATGTAGTCTAGGCTGGCTTCTAACTCTTGGAACTGCTGCCTCACCCTCTGAAGTGCTGGAATTACAGATACATACCATTTTGAGGCTTAACCAAAGTACTGTTGCATGTAAATAAAAGCGTTTTACTCATGATATTTTACTCTTGGTTTTTCTTACAGTATAGTGTAATTTCTGAACAGAGAAATGCTTTTTTTAAAATTTAATTTGTTTATTTTGGTTTTTTGAGACAAGATTTCTCTGTGTAACAGCTTGGAGCTGTCCTGGAACTCACTTTGTAGACCAGGCTGGTGTTAAATTCACAGAGATCCAATTTCCTCTGCCTCTGAGTACTGAGATTAAAAGGTGTGCACCACCACGATTGGCTCAGAGGGGTGATTTTTATGATGAGGTTTGGAATGTATGATTATTTTCTGTTTCTGTTTGGTTTTGTTTAATTAGTAAAAATACCATCATTAGTTATTTATAGTGAAAACTGCAGAAAAAAAAAAAACAAAAGGCTAATGGCTCAAGGAAAGCATGCTCTTTTGTTTACTTCATCTGAGTAATGCTGGTGAAATTTTTGATGAAGCTGACATCAGAAATAGAATATGGCAATGATTTTGGTGAGCAGGGGCAATTCTGCTTCAACATTGAGAGTGCTGGGATTAAAGAAATGCATTACCTTTTCTTTTTCTTTAAGATTTATTTATTATGAATACAGTGTTTTGTCTGCATGTATGCCTGCACATCAGAATTGGGTACCAGATGGTTGTGAGCCAACATGTGGTTGCTGGGAATTGAACTCAGGACCTGGGGAAGAGCAGCCAGTGCTCTTAACCGATGAACTACCTCTTTAATTCGCATCACCATTTCTTGTAGCATAGTTGCTTGTGTCTCATAATCTTCACATTTGGGTCTGTTGTATGTAATTTGTCTTTTGTGAGTTCTGTTTAGTGATTTCAGATTGACATTTTGATGCTGTTAGGATCACACAGCCATGAGGGGCTAGGGATATGTTTCATTGGGTAGTGTTACATAGCATAAAAGAAGACCTGAAATCCATTGTAACAAGAATCAGATGGATGTAGAGTATCTGAAATCGTAGCATTGAGGAAGTGGAGACAGGAGGAGCAAGAAGTTCAGGAGCATATGGGCAACCTGGGCTAGAGAATCTGTCCTCCAAAAAGCTAAAAGAAAATATCAAATGCTGTTTAAATCCTTTGGGGAAGTTTTTTGTTAGTTTTTGAGACAAGAGTCTTACTGTGTAGCCCTGACTGGCTTGAACTCACAGAGATCTGCCCACCACTACCTCCAGTGCTGGGATTAAAGGAATGTGCTACCATGCCTGGCACTATTAGCTTATATTCCTAAATTTCTACCAATCTTCTGCATACTAAATTTCAAAATATCTTAATTTTTAGAACTCTTGCAGTTATATGCATCTATTTTGAGTTTATGTTAGCTAGTGGCTAGTTTCAAAGTGTGACCTTGGTCTGTAGCTGCTACCATGTTGCCTGGGTAGATGTAGAGAGGAACAGGATGATGACATACCCCAAAGCAAGCCTAAAAACAAATTGGGAGAATTCTCTTCCTGTGTGACATTAGGAAGACTCTCTTTACTGTTTTTCAGAGCAAGAACGACATAATTTGTCTCAGATCACTCTCTATTCTAGTGTGCCCTTGCATTTCAGGTTGCTGTTGAGTTCAGGTCAGGAGGTTGTAGAGAAAAGAAAACCAGGAAACCCACTTCTGACAACCCTGTGTTTTTTCTAAATTGTGGTTTCCTTTTATCTGCTACCATTTTCAGAATTCTCAAATTTTGATTCCATTCATTCTGTCCAGACTTTAAGTTAAATTTAATAGGAAAGACAAAACAAGCTAAGTTTATTGTCTATTGCATCTGAAACACTTTTTTTTTTTTTTTTTTTTAATGAAGCATGGATTTAGCTGGGCATGGTGGTGCATGCCTTTAATCCCGTATTCAGGAGGCAGAGGAAGGTTGATCTCTAATCTCGAGGTCAGCCTGGTCTACAAAGTGAGTTCCAGGACAGCCAAGGCGATTTTACACAGAGAAATTCTATTGGGGTGATGGGAGGAAGCATGGGTTTAATTTAACTTAATAGTTTGAGGGTACAGTTAAATCATAGTGGGGAAAACTTGATGGTAGGGGCGTGAGGTAATACTACATTTACAATACTACATTTACAGTCAGCAGAGAGAGATAAGTATTTCACAGATGTAATTTAATGTAGTTATAAATATATGTTCATTTATTTGATTAAGAATTTATTGTGTATTCATGTAGTAGTAGTTTTTGATAGAAAAAAAAATTTTTTTTTTGAAATAGGATTTCCTCTGTCCTGGAACTCACTCTGTAGACCAGGCTGGCCTTCAACTCACAGAAGTCCACCCGCCTCTGTCTCCTGAATTCTGGGATAAAAGGCATGTGCCAGTTTTACCCACTAAAGTAGATAATCTTAAGATGTGTACAGTGGTGGGCCACAAGTAGGGATGTGATATGGGAGTGGAGACTAAAAGTAAGCAATTTCATATTCATTTATATGAGTAATTAAAAGGTTACTTTTAGCCTTTAGGATCTAGTTCTGCTTCAGAACTTGACTTATTTGTGATAGGAAAAGATTTGGATGAAGTCTCTAGATAATTTATGTCTTAGATATAATTATTGAACTAGTTATAATAATAGACAATTATGGAATGAGAACTTAAGTTAAGAATCCATTGTTATTATTTCCTTATTTCTCAGGTCTTAGAAAAATATCCCAATACACCCATGAGTCATAAGGAAATTCTTCAAGTTATTCAGAGAGAAGGACTAAAGGAAATCAGGTGAGTTATTAAAATATTACTAGTAGTAATTATGTTTGGTTAGAGAATCTAATAATTAGTATATGTTGGTATCCTTTGTTTTAAACATTCATTGTTTAGTATAATGTACTTTATGAACTTCAGTTTATTCATCTGTCAGTCCTTGGGGTTTTAAGTCATAGCATTTATAAGATCAAAAGTAAGTAAAGCAAATTCTTTAAGAGAAGGTAAGTAGTTATCTTTCAAAGCCATGGACCTTGATTCTTATGAAGGCCTGAAGTCATCTTTAAGCTGTTACCTATCACTTTGTGCTTGGTGATTGGATAAAAATTATTATACAGCAGCTTTAGAAGTAGGCAGTATAAGAAGGAAAAAGACATTCAAAAGAATGAAATGGGGCCAGGCAGTGGTTGTGCATACCTTTGATCCCAGTACTTGGAAGGCAGCCGCAGGCAGATCCCTGTGAGTTCAAGGCCAGCCCAGTCTACAAAGCTACACAGAGAAACCCTGTCTTGAAAACAAACAAAAACCAAAAATAAACAAAAAGAATGAAATGGGAAAGATCTTTGTGTATCAAGAAAAATGCCCAGCAAAGGGCATTATGACACATGCCTAAGTCCAAGATGCTTGAGAGAGGCTAAGGCTGGAAGCTCACTTGAACCTGAGTTCTAGACAAGCTTGGGCTACATATACATAGCAAGATCCTCTCCCCCAAAACAAACTATCAAACAAATATGGCTGCCAAGATATCCCAAGGCTTTTACAGTTAAAGAGGGTGCTAGAACTCAGTGGTTGAAAGCTTCTATCTTAGATAGCATGAGACAGAGTGAGCTAAACTGGGAATTAGGTGGGATTTTGAGACCTCAAATCCCACTCCCAGTGACAAACCACCTAATCATTCCCAATAGTTGGGGACCAAGCATTTAAGTATATGAAGTTGTGGGGATCATTCTCTTTATAAACTAGCACAACCTGTTTCATAACACCAAACCAAAGTAAAGATACAAAGTTTGTGGAGTTTTTTTTTTTTTTTTTTTTGTGTGTGTTTTTTAAACAGGGTTTCTCTGTGTAGCCCTGGCTATCCTAGAACTCATTCAGTAGACCAGGCTTGCCTAGATATCAGAGATCCTCCCGCCTTTGCCCCCCCAGTTTGGGTTGCACCACCATGGCCTGACTACTAGTGGTTTTTTGGTATGAGAGGAGCTATTTTTGAAGGTAATACTGAATGAGAAGAGGAGCACATCATATCATTTAATAGGTAAGTAATATAAACACTACAGGTTTCACATTGAAGAGAGTTGCCAGTGGTGCTTTGAGAAACACTGAGTTGGGCAAAAAAAAAAAAAAAAAAAAAGAATAGATTTTTTTTGCTCTTGGTTTTTCGAGAGAGGGCTTTTTTGTATTGTTTTGGATCCTGTCCTGGATCTCTTTAGACCAAGCTGGCCTTGAACTCACAGAGATCTGCCTGTCTCTGCCTCTCTAGTGCTGGGATCAAAAGTGTACACCACCAATGCCCGGCAACAATTACTGTTATCATTATTATTTAAAATATCACCACAATTTATTTATTTGCTATGTATACAGTGTTATGCATGCATACCAGGAGAGCGTACCAGGCAGGTCTCATTATAGATGGTTGTGAGCTACCATGTGGTTGCTGGGAATTGAACTCAGGACCTGGGTAGAGCATCAGTGCTTTTAACCTCTGAGCCATTTCTCTAGTTTGACAATTATTTTTTTTTTTAATAAGTAGCTATTGCATGATCTAGATTTTATTTTCACTTTTAATTTATTGACTGTGGGAGTTTCACATCATGCACCCCAATTCCACTCACTATCTGGCCCCCTCATATTTTCTGCTCACCCCTGCAGTGCCTCCCCCAAAGAAAATTAAAATTAAAACAAAGCAAGCAAACAAACAAGAACAAGAACTCTTCACTTCTTTCCCACCTCTCCAACACCTCTTCATTTGTCCTGGTGGCATTGGGGTTCTCTGTGTGTCACATACTATACCCCTCTTTTCTATCAGCTTTACCAGTTGATTGCAATGAGTCACTGGTCTGGTTCAAGCCCTCTGGTTTCTGGTACACCATCATCCCTGGATCCTCACTGGAACTTGCCCTGAGTCGTGGAGATCCTGGCAGTATTGTTCCACAGGACCAATCCCTTCACAAGCTCCAGCATGTCCTGCATGGGGTAGATTAGGGTGGGCCAACCCAAGGACCAGATGTGAGCCTGGATGGTAACTGAACTGGTCGGTAGGGACTACTGGGGCCATCTGCCTCAGGTGAAAGGGCAGAGTCAACTCCCGTACATCCCTGACCTCAGGATTTGTTTACGCTCACCTGCAGTGAATGGTGGGGCCATCTTTCATGAGGGTTGAGGCTGGCTCTCTTGATGCAGTGTCTAGCCACAGGCAAGACCAGCTTTCCCTGGGCCAGTAAAGGGTGGGGCTGGCTCGCAGAGCCCTTTGATTTCATCTCCATGGTTCCTGTGGGATCCGGTTGTGACACAGGTCACAGACATCAGAACAGACCCCAAGCTGCAACCAGGCTATGGACCTAGACATGGTCCTTGGCAGTAGCTAAATCTGGATGTCACCTTTGCCCCAGGTGGCAGCACAGGCCACTCAGATGGGCATGAGTCCCAGTGTTTGTGTGGCCCTCGGATGGCCCCAGACCTCATGTGTCTGTATGGCTTTCAGTGGGAACAGGAGCCTCTGAAGTCAACACAGATCCTGGCTGCAGTAGGGCCACAGACTTAGATATGGCACTCACCTGTAGCTCTGGCCCGAATGTCATCATGACATTGGCTAGCAGTGTAGGCTGCTCAGATCTGCGTGGCCCATGATAGCAACCTGGGTTTAGGTAGTTCACCTGACCCTGGCACCCATGTGGTCCTTAGTGGAGCCATATATGTTAATCTAGACTTTGGGTGTTATAGGACCAACGACTCAGACATGGTCTTCAGGAGCAGCCTGGGTGGGCCAGATGACACCATGGCTCCAGGTATCAGCATAGATCTGTATGACTCCCCAGATTTCAACAAGTCCATAGGCTGCAGCTGGAGACCCCAGGTCTCTATGGGTCCTAGTGGCTACTTTGGCCACACACTTCATAGACCCCAGCTGCATCTGGACCATAGATCCAACCATGGCCCCAGGTAGTATCCTGGCTACAGGAAGAAGCACACTGACCACTCAGATCAGGATGGCTCTGGCAGCGGCATGGCCCCTGGACACCAATAAGGCTACAGGTTGCAGCCTAGACCCCAGGCTCCATGTGGCTTTTGGTGGCAACATAGGCTGCAAACTTCAACACAGACCTCAGCTGCAGTATATTCACGGACACAGCCAGATATTCTCCTTGGCAGTAGCCAGGGTCTTTTTGTCACTATAGCCCCAAGTAGCTGTGAAGACCACCGAGATTGGCCCCAGGTGGCGGCCCAGACCACTGGAGTCAGCATGGCCCTCAATGGCAACAGGAGCTACTGAACACAGACCCTGGCTGCAGTAGGGCCATGGACCCAGATATGGCCTCCAGCTGCATCCCTGGCCTGAATGTTGCCATGGCACCAGGTAGTTGTTACTAAGGTCTATATGGCCTTGGCTGTATCATGGCCCTTGGGTACCAACATGGTTAATCAGACTCAGGCAACCAATCAGACAGCCTTCAGTTGCAACACGAGTCACAGATGTTGGCTCAGACCCTGGCTGCTGTAGAGCCATGGACCCAGGCATGGCGCTTGTCAGCCTGGCCTGGACATCACCATGGCCCCAGGTGGCAAGCAGTGTCTGCCTTCATTCATTTTCTTCATTTATTTCGTTCTGTCTCTTTCCAAAGTACATGAACCATTCTATTTCTCTTTCTTTCCCATTTCTCCACCACATATTTGCTCATCATTATGGAACTTACCTGCCTGGCACCTGGCTAGCCCCCACTTGAACAGAACAGCAAAAGGGGGGCCATGGATGTCTTCCTGCCAGCCAAGGCCTTGAGGACCCCTGCTGGCCTATGGTTGGCTAGCACTTACTCGAGCAGAACTACAGAATGGGGGTGGGTAGATATCTTCCCGCCATCTAGGGCCTTCAGACCCCCCCCCCCAAGATTTTAATTTTAATTTTCTTTACTGTGATACTATGCTTCAGATTTGCTTATTTTTGTGGTGCTGGGGATTGAATACAAGGCATTGTTGGATTCCATTTCGGTGAGTGATCTGTCCCTGAGTCATGTACCCAGCCCATGAGATATTTTCAGTTGGTTCTTTTCTAGAGCAAAAATTTCCCTTCTGTGTGTGAGAGGCACAGTAAAAAGACCACTGAAATGGCTTCTTTATTAGGGAATAGGTATTTACTGTGAATAAGAGAAAGTATCCAGAAGCATCTGGAAGAGTTCAGAGCACTGAGAAAAAGATGTAGATTGGTCATATATAGACAGGGCTATTTGCAAGAGAAGTGAAAGCATGGGTTAGAAATAGAAAAATGATGCCCCTTTAAAGAAGGACAAGAAGGGACCAGGGAGGGAAGCGCCTGGAGGCTAATGTGGACTTTGAAATGTGTAACAGGTATTTGTGATACCTATGGAGCCTGGAGGCCTGCGTGGGCTTTCATATGTTGATAGTTGCTACAGGTATATCCCAAAATGTCTCTTCTGTAGTTCATCTTGAGCTCATTTCTGGATATGTGAACTGTCTAAGACGGAAGTGCCCTTCCTTTTGGAGCTGGTGCTGTGGTGAATGTCTGTATCTCAGCTTCTTTGGGTAGTTGAGACTAGAGTATTGCACATTTCAGTCTGGCTGGAGTAACCTAGTAAGCCCCTGTTTTAGAAAGGAAGAAACCAAAAATCAGAAAGGGGCCAGTGAAATAGATCAGCAGTGCCTGCTGCCAAGCCTGGTAGTCCCAATTTGAGCCTTGGAACCCACATGGTGGAATCAGCCTACACATGAATGAGGTGAACTCACCTACACAGACTTTATAAACAAACATAGCAGAAGAAAAAGAAGTTTTAATCGTGGTCACACAT